CACTCAAACGAATACCTTATGTCGCCGTTGCCACCACTTCCGCTACAAGAAGGGGCGTTGTCGAGTAATTCGTTAAAAATAAGTTGTTTATTTCGACCACAAGGATTATAGATGTTAGTAATAATACAAATCTTAAAACTAATTTTCGTAAAACTTAAAATTATTTACCTAATTTTAAAACTATATATAAGACAGGCCCGATTAGTCAGCACGTGCACCATATGACAATGGTTCAGGTACTGACCTAAACCTGTCAGAAAATGCCCTCAGGATACCATTGGAACTGGCCCGCACCCTGCGCACCAGGGATGTGCATTGTTTACGCATGGTAGTGTAGAAACAATCCACACGCGCATCCGCGAACATACCTGGCGCATTACAATAACGAGGTAGACCAAACAGCACCCTGAATGCATTACAAACACGCATTTAATCTGTAGCTTGTACCGCCAAAGATACGAAACGGCAACGTCGCGGTTGCATTCAGCCAATTCGATCGTTTATCGTATCGTTTGCTGTGCTCTGATTGGCTCATTTAAATCGGATCAACATTTTCCGTAACCATCGCAAGGTGGATTTGTATATCGGATCAACTTCGGCCAACGCTAGCAAACAGTCTCGTGAGTGCAGATGTTGATCCGGTTGGAGCCACATTAGTTACCAGAGATGCATATTGGATCAACAAAAGGCGCCGGATCAACATGCGTTTTCGGATCAACATATATATCATACATATATTTATATATATATATATATATATATATATATATATATATATATATATATATATATATATATATATATATATATATATATATAAACTTCAATACATATATTTGTGAATAATGGAGAAGTTGCATGATTTAATTTTCTTGAGTTTACGTAAAATTATTAAGAAAAAAAATAACAATTGATTTTTCTAAAATGTAAATTCAAACGCCAGTGACGTCATTAGATCTCTTTAGTAAAGCCACTGCATGGTGAAATGATTAAACACTGATGTTTTATTTGGCAAAAATAAAAAAATTGTCATTATATAATACACGTTATATATATTTTGTTATGACACATGGTGATCCGAATAAAGACAAGTGGTAAAATTAAAGATTTTGTTCAACCGACTTCAATACGACCGAATTAATGTATTCGAATCTTCGATCAATAATAGTACTGGACTCTAGACTAATGATCAGGAACGAACATAAGTCGCTCAAGTGGCCACGTTTGCACACACGTAAACATCTATATTTCTTACTATGAAATATTGAAAAAAAGATTATTAATATTAACAACTGCAGTTTATTATAAACCTCATCACTCAAACATAAAGTTTAAATGCTATTGCAAAATATATTAATTTAAATCCTGTCATCGGAGAATGATGCCGCTTGAAAATAAAAAGTCATAAGTACACAAATATTTATTCTAAAATCAAAGTCTAAGTAATAAGGTTTAAATATTCTGTTAACAATTTCGTGCTTATTCTATTTTATTCTAGGTATCACATTTCAATGTTTGTTACAATAGTTGATGCGTTGTAGGTGTAGCAAACATCAGTCAAACAACCATAATATTAGGTTATTGAATTATATTTACTATTTATTTTATGAAAAACACTTAATGATATAAACTTACCGTAAAAAAATTAATTCTTTCCAAAATCTTGGTGTTAAGGTGGTTATTTACAGTTTTTGAAAGCGCACTGCGGCATTTTGACGTCTTAACATTGGCTATGATTGGAGTATATTAATTTGAAATAAGACTACAAAAGTATTTGTGGTCTTATTTTTCGGGCCGTTTTTAAAGCGCTTATCGGGAATCTAGTAGTATTATTGATCGAAGATTCGAAGTCAATTAAATAAGCTTTGTTAAAGATAACTCAAAAATTACTAGTCATATCTTGATTAAATTTACATGAGAAGCGCCAGCTTTCAGACAAAATAATCATCAAAATCGGTTCGCCCAGAGAAAAGTTCTGAGGTAACACACATAAAAAAACTAAGAAAATTGAATTGTTTATACAAAAAATATTTAAATATACTTTAAATTAATTATTCATTCATTTATACTGAATGACCTTCTTTACCATATAGAAAAAATGGGGTGTAACATGTGAACGGAGGAGAAGCCTATGGCAGTGATATTTTACAAAAAATAAAAACAAACATTTTGAATTAAGCGTTTAAAAAAATTTTTTGCACAATTACTTTGCCCTTTGCCCTTGAGCCTGTGACACTGCGAAGTGACAAGGTCAAAGATGCCTACTATATTTATGGTTTTATGCCGTTCGTAATGTAGGGTGGATATCATTTGAATTTCGATAGGTTTTAATTAATTTATTTAATTCAAAACTTTTGTTTTATTTTTTGAAAAATATCAGTGCCATAGACTTCTTCTCCGTTCACATATCACATCCTATTTTTTCCAAACGGTAAAAAAAGGTCAGCCAGTATATATAAAATTATGACAAAAAAAATATAATGCAACTTCTCTATTGCAGCCTGAATCAACTCCTAATAATCTAATAGAACTGATGCAAATATCCAAACCTAAATACGACTCGTCCGTTGCACTAGTAAACATTGTATGTGACAAATGTTCGACAAACACGCGTTCTAGCCAATGTTTTGACAAGCCGTGCACTTGTTGGCCGAATGTTGACAGTGTGAGATCTATCGCGGACAGTAAGAAGGAAAGTTTGCCGAACACAACCGGGTCCGTGTCGAATATGTTGGCTGACGTACAAACGAACGATGACGTTGTTCCGAGTACCAGTTTCGACGCAAACAATTGTGCGGAATGTTTGGAGAATAATTTTTGGACGAAATCCGTTGTGGATGACAAAAAGAAAGTGGAAAAGGGTTAGTTTCTTACGTGGAGCATACTCGTATTTTGTAAAAAGAGTGTCCATGATTTATTGGACTGTAATATAAGTAGGATAGACTCTGTCCGATCCACGATCATGATCTTTTAATTTATCGTAATATGATTCTGTTCATGTAATCATTCCTAGAGATTAAATAAAAAAATATCTCGTAATAAATTAAATAAAATTTGAATAAATAGAGAGACCTACATGGAAATACATGAGGCTCGGCTGGCCGTTGACAACAAAACCGTGACACATTCAAAAGTCGCCCATGACGGTGTTGCCAGATTTTTAAATTTACTGAATTTTAGCAAAATATAACACTAATATTAACATTTCTATATAGGGTGTCCGGTTTCCGATGTCCGATACTTTAAGGGGTTAAAATACAATTAATTTTATCGACAAATCGGGGATCAATGATTTTTTTTTCGCCATCAATAAAAAAATGGCAGCACTTTAAAAAAAATTGTTGGCGAAGCATAGATGCTTGTATTAATTTAACAATATCTACCCAAGTAGAAGACTTTCAAAAACAAAATTGGTCTCAAATGTTCAACAACAAAACAAAAACGTAACAAAGTCTAACAACAAACAATAATTATGTACAGTAAGTAGATTTACTTAAAACCAGGAATGTTATCACAACGCAGAGCGAGGGACGACTGCTCGACGGCACAAGCGCACACTGCACCCTTTTTACCTGGAGACAGCCGTTATTCTGTCTCGCTCGCACTGTTGTGCACAGCGTTTTTTACCTACTCACACAAAGGATGCTATTGTGCTTGCTTACGATTCCTTGAATTATTGAAGAATTTTATCTTACTCACTGGAATGGGTGTTTAGTTATCTAATATCGGGGTAGAGGCACTTTGAACAGTTACATTCAAATTATCATAGCTCCTAAACTATCTAACTCAGAGTTAAGATTTAAATGTGCATTTATAGCAAATATCCTGTATTATAATAAAAACAAGTAAAAAAATTGGTTAACACGATGGTTTTTTTTAAAGCTAAGAATCTGAAAAACAACATCAATTTGTTGTCTAATTTATTTTTTCAAAAATGTTTTTTACTAATACTGAAAAATTAAAAAATAATATTTTGAATCTAGATTTATTGTCTACACTATTAACTAACATTTGAGACCAATTTTGTTTTTGAAAGTCTTCTACTTAGGTAGATATTGTTAAATTAATACAAGCATCTATGCTTCGCCAACAATTTTTTTAAAGTGCTGCCATTTTTTTATTGATGGCGAAAAAAAATCATTGATCCCTGATTTGTCGATAAAATTAATTGTATTTAACCTCTTAAAGTATCGGACATCGGAAACCGGACAACCTGTATTTATTATTAATATGATGTTTTGTTTTTTTGGTAATGTTATAGCGGTATGTAAAACCTTAGTGTCCCTTATGAATCGGACAGTGTTTTCTTTACACATTGATATTGTAGAATCTATAACTCTCTCTCTCTCTCTCTCTCTCTCTCTCTCTCTTCCTTTATATCACTCTTTTTAAAGAGTCAATGAACTCACCATTGACTCTTTAAATCTGAAATCTATGTTTAGTTCCTCTCCAATAATTCTCCGTCTCCACGTGGATTTGTCCATTACACGAGATAGGCAGCAGCGTCTTTCTGATACCAACAAGAAACTAAAACTGCGGTCTCCAGCCCTCGCCTTCCAAATAATATTAATAATGTCCTCCAGACCCAGTTTTGGTCACGAACGGCCAGTCTCAACGGAGACTAGCCATCGGCGAAGGACAGGATTAGTGCCCAACTGAATGCGCAAGCACACGTGCACTCTCTATTCCCTCACTCTCATAGTCCGATGGGACGGTAAACCGACACGACCGGAGAGAGATCAGACGCAGGACTCGGCTTTACGTGCTTTCCGAGCCACGGGGGTGAGACACCGCCAACTTCCTGACTCCGGGCAGCTATTGAGAACTTCTTGACGGAAAACTCAATAATTAGATTTTTGGCCCGACCCAGGATTCGAACACAAGACCTCACACTTATGAGGCATCTATGGGCAGATCTATGTTGAGCAGTGGACTTAATAAGTTCTGATTGATGATGACCGCTGATTTGGAATCGCAGTAACCAACCATCGTTTTTGTTGGAGGTCGCTTGTGTTTAGATACCATGTAATGTATGCATTAACCAAACCCCCTCAGATGATTCTATCTCTATCTATCTATCTCTCCGTCCCTTTCTCGTTCATCCACACTTTCTGAACTACCCGCCTACCATCTGTGGTGACTATTACAAATGCAATCTATAACGCAATCTATGAGGGCGGCCTATTTTTTATTATTATTTGCAATCAGCTATGCAGGCCTAGAGAGAGAGAGAGAGAGACCAGTATCACTGCGACCTAAAAGATCTATCTACGTGATCGCGACTATGACGCTATATAGTTATAGATAGTTCACGGCTAAGCCCTACGTCTTCAATGAATAAAAGGAGTTACTTAGCCGTGAGCAATTTCACTTCTTATGGGCGGAGTACATGGTTTCCCAGATGAGTGCTACGTTTGCGCATTAAGGGTCCGCAATCAGTTAGGATGTGCAAAGGCGTTTCTTCCGTTAAGGAATATAACCGGCACATCCTTGAGTTGCTTAGTTCCAGGATGGACATGTGGTTTTCAAGACGACAGTGTCCAGTCAGGGCTCTTGCCAGAATGCGCAATTTATTTTTACTTAATCCCAGGGATGAGGGAGGCCTATGCTCAGCAGTTGACATTTTATAATCTATAATGGACGGATGTAAGGAGGGATAAACTTGAAATGACCACCGACATCTTTTATTGACAATATCTTAGCTTTTGATATTTATATTTCAATATTAATTTAAAGAAGGAGGGAGATATTTATTTGGCCATTCTTACAAAATACAGTAGGTTACATGTATCTCAATTTAACTTAAGTTTCTTGAATATAGAGATTCCTATATTCAAGTAACGTTTCGTTTTCCGTAAAGATCCGTTTTAATTAATACCAGGTGTATTTAAAAATAATCATACAGTTTGTAAAACTACTATCTTTCGAATAATTAACATGACTTAAAATAAAAAAATTTCAAGCGGTTTGTAAATTGGTGAACCAGTATTTTTTAAAATTACTATAACTTAATAAGGCCACGCAGCAACTATATTATATTTGCAGCACGATTGGGTACGCTTGTACCGGGAAGGACCACACACACATAATATCAGAGTAAAATAGCAACTTAATGATGCTATGTGACATATGATGGGTGTAGATAACGCGAGACTTAACCAGGCAGATAGAATGTCTGAAGTCCTCAGGGGTGACAACGCTTTAATAGTAAATCGGGGATAGATGAGGGTGCCTATGGGCCACAGCATGCACTTACCATCAGTATTCGCTTGGCAATGTAAGTACTGTTAAACGGCTCGTAAGAGAAACCAGAGAGTATTAAATATAGAAATCCGGCGTAAGAAACTTTAATTTTTATTTAAAAGCATAACATCTTCCCAGATTCGAATCCCGAAAGTAGAAGGAAACACACGACCTTTCGCAGTGATTCATCGCTTCTATCATTTCACAAGATATCGTCGAATAGCGACGAAATGATCGATAAAGATAAGAAATCTGAATCCGATAATCCTCCAAAACGCTCAACGGATCCACAACAACGCCAATCGGCTGGTATCAAAATAATTGTTACCGATGAATCGAATACAAAATCGAACGCCGGAATCGATGACAATATAATCGAAAGAGAACTGAAAGCTTTAGATGATAAATGTGACAGTATAGAGTTGGCGAAGTTGATAGAAAACGAAAGAGAAGAGTGGAGTTCGCGAGAAATGCAACACTTGATATTAATACAACTGTATAAAATTTTAAGAATACTCGAGAAGAAGAAGGACTTAACTTGAGAGTGAGGATATAAAATTTTGAAGTATTAAGAGGATATCTGGGCGATCTTTATACGAACGATATTCTCTGTTTTCTTCCTTGATAATGGATTCGATTGATAATGAATTGATTGGTAGTGGTGGGTCAGAATATCCACTATCGCATATCGTCCCGTGGGTGTCGTAAGACGCGACTAAGGGGAACTGAAACAGGTGATTTACAGCTGCATTACCCCCCCCCCCCCCCCTCCCGAAGTAAATCCATGGGGAGACCTGTGTTCAGCAGAGGAGAGTTTTATAGGCTGTATTGAATGGAATAACACTTGAGCAAAAACATTTTAACAATATAATTCTTTTAGAGTAAGGGTGACAAACAAGCTTACAGTCCACCTGATGGTGAGTGGTTGCTGTGGCCCACTATCTAAATTTTTATCCTCGATTAAGAGTCAAAATGCAGATGCGTTGTCACCTTTGAGGATTGATATGGAATGCCTCGTTTCCAGTAAAACGGGTCTCCGGTTCTCTACAATCACTATACGGAACACAGCAGTATTAAACTGCTATTTGATGCTGGTATTCTGTGAGAGCGTGGTCCTTGCCCGGTCGAGCTGAATTATTCGCGCTACCACCATAATGTAGCTGCAGCGTGGCGTAAAAAAATATATCTATGTTTTTGTTTTTCTTTTCATAGATTAATTATTTAAAAAAAAACTGGGAACTATCTCAAATTACTTAAACCAAGCTGACTTAAAAAATAAAAGAAAAACATACAAATATAGCTACAATCTTACTTATTTTACGTGATCGGGCTACGCTGCGATTATATTCATATTAATGGTATAGTTGTAGCACGAATGGGTCGGCTCGACCGGGGCAGGACCACGCTATCACAGAATACCAGCGTGAAACAGCAGCTTAATGCTGCTGTGTTTCGTGTGGTGAGTGTAGAGAACCGGAGACCCATTTTACTAGAAAGGAACCATTCCATCCTAGTCCTCGCGGGTGACACTGCATCTGCATTTTGATTCGTGATCGAAGACAGATGTTGATGTCTATGAGACACAGCAACCACTTACTATCAGGTGGACTGTGTGCTTGTTTAACACCCTTAGCCTATTAAAAGAGAATGCTGTTCTTGAAAAAAAAATCTATCGGTCCAGTTTGGAGGGGGGGGGAACAGGTTACGGAATGATGATTCTGTCAATTTCCCACAGGCAAAATCAGTCCGATATGCAGTTGTCGCTCTGGGTTGCCTAAATCGTTAGAAACCTAGGGTGATCTTTACCAAGCTATTTCTAATTTGTCTTGTGTTGTTAATGTAAACATGATTGTAAGCTATTATTTGAAAAAAAAAAAATAGTCCCGCTGGGTTTCTTGCTGGTTCTTTCCAGGACAGAGGTTTTTTTGCGAACCAGTGGTAAATGAAAAAAGTGACTTTCAATAAGTATCGCTTATAATCTACATTGAATAAAAAAAGTTTCTGTTACTGTTTCCTATTCTTCGAATTTCTTGGAGCTCGGACCCCGGATATCCTCTTTATAACCAAGATACCTTATTACATTTAATAGTTATAAAATATTTAAATAAAATTAGTTTTTACGGATTTTATCGCGTATATTATCTTATTTTATATTCCCGACGTTTCAAACACTTTACAACACCCATGGTCAAGGGGGGAGACAGAAGTGTTCGACGTCCTTATATCATAGTTAACCACGGCTACCTCCACATCAAAAAGGGATTATAAAATAAGTTAATATAGGCGATATAGTCCGTAAAAACTAGTTGTATTTAAATGCTTAGTGTTCGCGTAAATATAAGAAATTATTAAGTAATACAATATATAGTTTGTTTTAAATATCAATATCGTATGTATTTCTGACTAAATTATAGTTTAATAGTAAAAAGTAGCTATATATATATATATATATATATATATATATATATATATATATATATATATATATAATAGTTTTATTTCGTAGACTTATGGATTTTATTATACATTTAAATATAGATTTTATTATAAATTTCATACGTGTAGAGCCACGCTGCAGTTATATTATGGTTGTAGCACGAATGGGTTGGCTCGACCGGGGGAAGTACCACGCTCTCGCAGAATACCAGCGTAAAATAGCAGCTTAATACTGCTGTGTTTCGTATGGTGAGTGTAGAGATCCGGAGAACCGTTTTACTGGAAACGAGGCATTCCATCTTAGTCCTCAGGAGTGACAACGCATCTGCGTTTTGAATCTAAATCGAGGATAAATGTAGATGCCTATTGACCACAGCATCCACTTACCGTTAGGTGGACTGTGTGCTGGTTTGCCACCCTTATTACATAACATAATAACATAAACACTCACGCCTGTCACCCAGATGGGTAGGCAGAGACTACGGACTTCCATTTGGCACGATCCTGACATACCTCTTTCGCCTCCTTTACATCCATATATCTACGCATACATGCTCGTCGGTTAAGGGTACTTCTAACGTGGCCCCTTTTCAAAATATCGCCAATTTGGTCGATAAACTTTTTTCAGGGCGGCCCTTCCCGACTCGGCCGTTCACATCTGCCATATAAATTTGCTTTGTCACTATTTCCTCATTCATTCTTTCTACATGACCAAACCACCGAAGCATTCCTTTCTTAATCCTGGTCACAACATCATCTTGCATACCACATTTATCTCTTATCATGCAATTTCTCACCCTGTTATTCAGATTCAACCCTAGCATACTCCCTTAAAGACCGCATTTCTACAGCATTTATTCTACTTTCATGCTTCTTCTGCCACACCCAGCTTTCACTACCATACATTAAAGTAGGGACTAACACAGCATTATGAATTACCATACGTGCCTTTTTTGACACATTCTGGTTCTTCATAATAGAGTGTAGTGCCCCATTCACTCTATTCCCTGCATTTACTCGTCGTCAATATCCCTATCATATCTACCATCCCTGCTAAATACACATCCCAAATACACAAACTCATCCACTTGCTCAATTAACTCTCCTTCTATTCTTATTTCACATACCGTTTTGCTTTCTTCTCTTTCAAAAACCATCACTTTCGTCTTACTTGCGTTCACTTTCATTCCCCTTTCTTTTAATTCCCAGTTCATTAATGTAACCATCATTTGCAACTCAGCCGCCGATGACGCAAATATGACTTGATCATCGGCATACAAAAGGCATTTGACGGTTAACTCGCCCATTCTTAACCCACATTCTTCATCTTTCAAAGTTTGCAAACACCTGTCCATAAATAGGTTGAACAGCCAAGGGGAAGCTACACAGCCCTGTCTGACACCTTTTTGGATGCCAAACCAGTCCGAGTAGACCCCATTGATCCTGACACAAGCACTAGAGTCCCTATAAAGAGACCTTAATGTCTGTATCAAACCAGCGCTCAACCCATATGAGTTCAGTGTTTGCCATAACACATTCCTGTCCACTCTGTCATAAGCCTTTTCCAAGTCCATGAACGCACAAAAAACTTTCTGGTTTTTGGCCAAAAACTTCTCCGCAATCATGCGCATGGAAAAGACTTGATCTGTACACCCCATTCCCTTTCTAAAACCCGCTTGCACATCCCAAATTTTTCCATCAGTTTCTTTCATAACTCTTTCAATTAACACCTTAGCATACAATTTACCCACAATACTAAGCAAGCTGATAACCACGGTAGTTTTTGCAGTCCTGCTGTGACCCTTTTCCTTTATATATTGGTACTATAACTGCTTTACACCAGTCATCCGGTACCCGTTTTAATTCCCAACATAAATTAAACAAGGTGTACAGCAGGCCTGCCACCACTCCCTCTCCAGCCCTTAGCATCTCGAGTGATACTCTATCATATCCAGCTGCCTTACCTGCTTTCATGCTTTTTATTGCTTTCATTATTTCATCTACACTTATCTCCATACCCCCTTCCACTTCTTTCGGAATTTCTAGTTCATTTAATTCAGACGACTCTTCACTCATAAACACGCTTTCAAAGTATTCCTTCCATCTGTTTAAATTCGAAGCTTCATCATTCAGAACACATCCATTCTCGTCTCTAATAGCATTCATTATAGGCTGTTTTGAATGTCCCCTGGCAGTTCCTACGAGTTTCCAGAACATTTTTATGTTAGCCTGGAAATTATCAGATATCCTTCTATCATTCTTATCCGTTCTTTCTTTCTTTTTCCTTTCAACAACTTCTTTTACTCTCTTATTTAGACGTCTAAATTCTGCCTTTTTTCTTTCAATCTCATCATTCATACCAGAAGAATTACCAGCTTTGGTTGCTAGTAAATCTAACCATGCTTTCTTCTTTGATTCAACTTCCACCCGTACCTCATCATCCCACCACAACGTATTACTTTTCCTTTCATTTGTTCTCTTACTTACACCACATACTTCAGTGGCGGCATCCACCAAACCTTTCTTAATATTGTCCCACACAGTATTCAAGTCTAAATCATTCATACACAACTCATTCAAACATCTAATATTTCCTCTCAGTCTACATTTATACTTCTCTTTCACATCTTCATCTTGTAAATTCTCTATTCTTATACGCTGTAACGCAGTGGTAGACACAGATGTTCGATGCCGCCAACGCTTGAAAAGACCATTAATTCGACATAAGACCAAGTAATGATCCGTCCCTACGTTGAACCCCCGGTAAACCCTTGTATCTACGACTGCGCTCCTCATTCTTTCATCCACAATTACGAAATCTATCATGCTTCTATCATCACCTCTTTCCCATGTATACATGTGAATCTTCTTATGACGAAAAAAAGTATTCGTCACAAAAAGATTCTTTTCCACACATACGGTGAGGAGGTCTTCATCACCAAACATTCCCAATATCCTTTCATAACCAGACCTCTTCACCCCAACCCTTCCATTAAAGTCTCCTAACATAATAATATTTTCATTTTCCTTACATTTTGTCAACACCATCCTTACCATGTCCCAAAACTGCTCTCGGATGTAAGTCGGCTTAGACATGTCTGAGGCG